CCTTAAAATGAAATTACACTAGCAGAATTTTTTTCTAAAAATTAGAAGTATTGGAATATAAAGTTGAGAGAATTTTCAGAAAATAAAAAGTCAAAGTGATAAAAATGATGACGAAGAAAATTAATGAATCAGTTCCATAGATTCAACACTGAGCAACGGGAATTCCTTGAAAATTGGAAAGGTTAACAGTTATCAGTACATAAGTAGAAAAAATGTATCAGACCTGAAGAACCTGAGTTTCTGGATTGTAAGTACCCACCCAGTACTAGCTCAGTAAATCAAAAAAGAACCATATTTTTAGCAAACAGGAGAAATAAAGGATCCTAAAAATGTCTGGAGAAGAAACGTCACCTTCAAAACATTAGTTTTTAGAATACTGTTGATTTTCTGTATAGCATCTCTGGGAGCTAGAAGACAATGGAGAATGTTTTGGGCTGAAAAATGTTTACTAACTTGAACTTATGTATTCGATTACGCATGTGGGTAAAAAAAATTCTATATGTCAATTATACATATGGATAAAATAAGGACATTTCAGTTATTCAGGATCTCAAAAAATTCACTTCCCGTATACCTTTTATTAGGAAATATACTGGAATATATGTTACACCTAAACCAGGGAGTAAACCATAAAAGGTGAAGACAAAGGATCTGGGAAACATGCTCCAGTGTAGGAGAGAGCGCAGAGAATTCCAGAGATGAAGGACAAGAGACGTTTCTGGCAAGGTGTCAGGTGTTCAGCAGCCTGGAGAGCAAACAGTCTAGACTGGAACGAGGGAAAACCCCAAAGGAACGCCTCCCAGACCAGAATGAAATTGATAGATTACCTGAAGTGTTTGAACTGATTTAGAAGAGACATAGCTCTGTTGGAGAGTTTGAAGACGAATTAGTGGAAAATACATAATAAATACTAAGCCAAAAAAAAATTGAAAGAAAGTATAAGAAGAGGAATTAGTAATTGTTAGTTCCAGGAAGAACACATTTGTGTAAGAACAGAAATTTAATTATACTGTTCATTCGGCTGTATATATTATTTACTTAGTAGTAGCATTCTTAGCACTGATTATTGATTTGAACAAAAATAGTGACTTATATTGAGAGGCTGAGAGAAGGAAGGTATGTATATATCATGTTGGGAAGAGAGTGCTGTTTTTGCTTATAAGCCTGGTGATATTATTTGACTTTTCAAATTATATATATTACTTCAATAAAAATTCAATTAAAAAATCAGTTCGGCGATAAGAATGTGCAAGTACTGGAGTGTAGTTTATTCTTTTAAGAAATTGGATAGTAAAAGGGAAGGGTAAGAACAAAGATGTTTGGAGAGTATCATAAGGCCAAAAATAATTTTTTAGAATAGAAGAGATCATAAAATATTTGTAGTTTGAGGGGATGGATTTCCTGGAAAAAGAGAAAGAAGGGTTCCTTAGATAGTAAGGTCTCAGAGGAGGCAGTAGGGTGTAGGTCACAAGTTTAGAACACAAGTGGTGAGGTTAGCCCTGCAGAGCAGTATTGGGTGGGGAATGGGGAAAGATGCAGGTTTATAATATAGTCATGAGAAGGAAAATGAGGGGCTTTGTGGGAGATAAGCTCTCAGGGTAATCTTAGACACTGTCATCTTCAGAATGGACTGACTAGGGAGGATGCCTAATGGGTTGGTTTGGAGTCTTTGAGAGGAGAAAAGGCACAGAATAACAGTGAGGAATGTGGTGTAGTGGGTCTGACATTCATTTAGTCATTCAGCCCAGTGCTTAGCACATAGAAGGCATTCAGAAGATGTGTCGAATGAATGAATGACCAACAGGAAGGGCTGGCTGTGGTAGATTCTGAGGTCCACAAAGGTTACATCGTTTTCTTCCAAGGCTCACCAGCAGCTGGGAAATAGGTGACAGGATCATGGGTCTCCCTAAGCCTTACAGAGTAAGTGGGAAGGAGCGCCTTGGAAGGGTAGGAGGAAGTGTTTGGAGATGTCAGAAAATGCTTCCTAGAAAAAGTAACTTTTGACCCAGTCTTTGAAAGTTCACCAAAAATACAGGATGAAGAAGGGCTTTCCAGGCAGAAGTGCTGAAATGTCAGTGCTGAGTGGAAGTTAATTGACATACGTTTGTAAAAGGACAAGTGTTGTAACTTTCCCTAGCTCTGCTCTGCACTTCTAGAGCAGAAGAGAAAAAGGTAAGGCTTTGGCAAGACAGGAATGTCCTAAGAACAAGTTGGTGGTGAACAAATTGAAGATGCTGGAGAGAAAAATCAAAGAAATGCCTGTCAAGTGAGGCTCTGAATGGACTCTGAAGAAAGAGAAGAACCGCAAAACTAGAAGCTGCGACGAAGCGTCCTCATGGGTTCAGATGGAGGAGGGCCGTGGAAGAGGCGCTGGTGGTCTGAGTAGGATTTCAGCTGTGTAGCAGCGCAGACTGAGGTGAGGCTCAGTCTCAGGTCCTGCCCGTCTCCTAGCTGAAGCAGGAAGGAGATGGGTCGCCTGTTTAAGATGAGCATCGAGTGTCTGATTCCTTTGGACTGGATTTACTCTTCCTATTGTTTCATTGCATTGTCACACTATATTGTAATTGACTGGATTTTGTCTTTCCCAGTAATCTGTAAGTTTTTTGATGACAAAGACTGTCTTCTTCACTATTATCCTAGCACAGCACATAATTTGTAACCAAGGAGATAGATACTATTCTCAACTTAGAAAAATAGTCCATTTCTTACAGGATCTAATAATCTTGAAGACAGACAATAGTAACATAGATACACACCATAATAAAACCCAAAAGACTTTTAAGAAAACAAAATAATAAAACAACATCTTATAATAAAAAGACTTCAGCTCTGCCATCCTCTCCACAGTCTGTTTTTCAGAAATTCTAGAGAAGATGGGATAGTATTAAGAGGCTAAGTTTCAAAAGAGACAGAAAAATGAAAGGTTTACTTTATTTCCATGAAAAAGAAAAATTTGAAAACGATAAGCAAGAATAATAAAAGCCACATACTGCATACTGGGAAATTCAAACCAGGTTTCAGTTTTTATTCTTCTCTTACGGACTTCTGATCCTGCAGCCTATGGGGGTTTTGTCATAGGAGTGGGAGGATTTTCCCATCCTAAATTTATACAGTGATCTAGAACGTCTAGAAATAAAAACAGGGCTACGATGTCACAGAGGGAACCGTATAATCTGGAGATGATCTCGATGCGGGTTGTGATTACAAGAATGTACACATATGTGAAAAAATCACTGAGCTGTGCATTCTGTGCACTCCATTGTACAAATGTTATGCCTTCATTATAAAAAAGTGACAAATTGTTTAAATTTTTTAAGTTCTTTGAAACCTCAGCCTAAATCATTTTCTCAAAGGCAAGAATGACTATTCTTCCACATATATATATATTATAAAAATTTTCTTGATCCCTATCTTTAAAAATCCTTCCTAGTTAAATTGTGGACCTTAGCCTCTGCTTACCAGTTTTTTAAAAATGCTTATCTATAGTCAATTTCTGATAAATAATAATGATGAGAAAAAACATCAAGAAGCCCACAGCCTCTCTACATTGGCTCCAAATCTTTAACTTCTGCCCCCAGGTTTTGCATACAAGTCTTTTCCGCTTGGATGGCCCAGTAGGGTCATAATAAAACACCACCTTTGTCCTCATAATTTATTTTTCTAAGTTGGGAATAGTATCTGTCTCTTTGGTTACATCTGTTTGATTCTTTTTAATTAGCCTTTTGAGGAAGTTTTTGTAGGATTGACAGACTGTCCCTGTGCGTAGAGGTAGCTCTGTCTCTGTCACTTATCTTCCTTTATTGATCAGTAAATAGTAAATCATTTGGAATAGTAAAATGTTTTTTTTTCTTTGAAAATTCATATTGAGAAATAAATCAGACATGTAAAAGAGAAAAGAGAAAACATACAGTTAAAAAAAATAATTATAAAACAAATGCCCATATACCTACTACATAGGCCAAGAAATAGATATAACTATAGCCCACCATGTGCCTCTTTCTGATTGAATCCCCTCCCGCCTGGATCCCTAAACATTCACTAGCCTAAATTTCATAATAATCCTTCCCTTTCTTTATAGTTTTTTAAACCATATATAGACAAAGTGTCTATATAAACATGTATATATGGTTTAAAATGTATATATGTAAACTTTAGATTAATGGAATTATACTGTATGTGTATTCTTTTGTGACTGGCTTCTTTCACCCAATATTGTGCTTTTGTAACACCCAGGTTGAGGTGTGTTGCTGTAATTTATTCATTTTCATGCAGTAAATATTCTATTGTCTGTAAACACCATAGCCTATTTACCTGTTTTCCTGTTGATGGATGTTTGTCTTTGTATTTTTTTCTGTTAAAAATAATGCTACCATATGTGCAAAAGTTTCTCTAGGGCATACACCTAGAAGTGCAACTACTAGTTTCTGCAGTAAATAACACATGTTACATAATGGCAAACTTTTTAAAGTGGTTGTACCAATTTTCCCTCCCACCATGAGCGATTGAGAGTCACTGTTGCTCTGTACCCTTGTGAATACTTGGTATTGCCCAACTTTTTAATTTTAACCAACATGGGAGTTGTAAAGTGGTATCTCTTTGTGGTTTTAATTTGCGTTTTTCTGATAGCTGTGAGATCAAACATCTTTTCAAATGTTTAGGGCCATTTATGTGTCTTCTCCAGTGAAATTCCTACTCAATTATTTTGTAAATTTTTCTGGTAGATTGTCTTTTTCTTATTAATTCATAACAATTCTTTATTACATTCTGGATGCTAAAACTTTTTCATAGATCAACCTGCTTCTTTTTTTATTCTGCAAATCTGGACACCCAAGGAGAGATGCCTTAGGCAAACCTTGAGCGTGAAAGCCATTGGCCAGGCTTCTGTATCAGGCACCGTAGCGAAATGCCAAAATGCCGTGAGGTCTGCAATGGCCAGCCCTGGCCCTTTGGAGTGAGTTGCAGCTTAGTTACTGACTGACCTGTGGTTCTTGCCTTTGCAGGTGGAACAGGAGGATTTTGTAATGGAAGGGCATGGCAAGACTCCACCTCCTGGTGAAGAAAGCAAACAGTGAGTCACAGTTTATTTTAAAAGGGTCTTATTACAGATCTTCAGAAGCGCTTTGGTTAAACATGCTGAGAGTATGTTTGCAGGGGATGTATGTGTTGGGCATATTGTGGAACTCACCAGTTGCTTTGGTGACTGTGTATGCATTGCTTCTATTTATAGACAGACTAACTGGAGGGACAAGAAAGTTTGCTTTGTAGTTTTTCATACTTGACTAATCAAAATTTATGTTACACTTTAGCAAAGGCTTTAAGGCTCAGGATGTTCCAAGTTGAACTAATTCAGTCTGGTTGATTTCCAAAGAAAGTATAAAATTGTATATCCTTTTCTTAGAATGTCTTTATGAGGTGACAAAATTAATAGGCTGTTTCCCTGCATTCCACATGTGAATTTATTTGACTAGTACTTCCTGAAATGCTATTCCATTTAGTTATTTATACTTCTGATCTTTGTTTAAATTACTGATTGTTTCCCTAAAGGATAGGAATTGTAAGTAATATAGCTTAGCTAACATTCTGCATAATTCAGGATTTCTCCCCTGACGTCTTAAAGAGTGATTGGTTTTAAATCTGAAATTGGGAGTCCTCTGGGTAGCTTTTTGGTGGCAGAGAGTAGAAATATTTTTTTTTTCCCTCTGTCACAGAACTTGAAAAATTGTGTTGCCGAGTAGACTGGTGTTTCATATGTCCTTTTAAAGGAAAAACAGTTACGGACTGACATAACTACTCTTAACGGACTGACATAACTACTATTTTTTATTCCGACAGTAGTCTCCTAAATCGAATGGGATAGTGATTCATGGAATTTACCGAAAATCTATAGAGAGAAACTCCTTTCTCTCATCTTTTTTTTTTTTTTAAACTGGAAAATAGTTTAGTTTTGGTTTGTGCTATGAAAATTATGTCTCTGAAACCCTTAGGAATGAATTATGCAGAATATGCCATGTTGCCACGTGGCCAGGTTCATTAAAGGAGAATGTTTGTCTTGTATTTGTTGTGAATGGAAACCAGGATATTTTCACAGCTGGTTTAATTTGCTAACCAGGCAGTTTTAAAAATAACTTACAATATAAATCCTAACTGCTGTATTCTGTCACATGCACTTATATTCTGCCTGGACTGATGGAATCAATTCATCTTTAGCAAATTAGAATGCCAAACATCTAGTCCCAGTGGAATTATAGGATCACTTCAGGTGCTTCTCCCTGCCCTTCTGCCCACTCCCTCAGCCCTACATGCTGGTCAAAGGTCTTTATAATATAAAAATCATAGCTCCCATTCGACAAGGGTTTTCTGTGCGCAAGTACTTTGCCTATTACAGTGTCTCCATTTTATTCAGAGGTCAGGGTAGGTAACTCGCCCATGGTAATGCAGCTTGAAATGGAAGTTAGGATTTGAACCCAGATCTTTCTGACTTTAAAGCGGTTTATAATATCTCTTGAACCTAAATCCTTTGCCGATGTTGGAAGCTACGTTCCTGAAAAGTACTATGGTTAAGAAAACTGCAGTTGTCAAGATCAAAGTCTCATGGATAAGAGGAAGTTGGGGGAAACAATGAAAATGGCATTAAGCCTATTTTTAAAACACAGATGAAAGTTCTGTTCTCTGGAGGGTATCCATTTCTTGAACAAACCAGTCTTTATCTTTAAAAACCTGCTCCAGTAACCCCTATCTTGATTCAGCTTCTTTAGGTATTCAGGAAACTTTGCTTGGGCAGATTCTCCCACAAGTTTTATGTTATACAAACTGTATTTCTGTTCGAGAGCTTCTAACAGCCCCCACGGACCTGAAACGTTACGTGTTGTGTTCTTACCATTCTCCCTTGTTTTCACGGTCTCTCACACTTCCTTTTCACAGGTGAAGCCTGTTTTGTTTTTGTTTTTGTTTGTTTTTCTGGGTTTGGTCTGCCATCATATATTAAAATGATAAAGCAGAACTGAATCTTCTCACTAGGCGTTCCTCCTAGAGACCAACCCACCTCTTCTGTGGCAGTGAGGAGCAGAAGTGCTGTGTTCTTTTGTTTGAGACAACAGAAATAAAAAGATTTATTCATTTATTTATTTATTTGTAGCTCAGAACCGTAGTTGGCAAAGAATGATTGAATCCTGAGTAGGAGGATCTGTATTCTAGATCATGAAAGTGCCACATCCCATTCATTCTTTTGTTTTTTAATTAGAAAAGTAATATGTCATAAAACATTTAAACAGTAAATGTAGATTTAGAAATAAAAGTGAGACCCTTCTTTTACACTATTTCCTCTCCTAATCTTTCTAAACATTTTCTCTATATATTTTTAAATGCCTAGATTTTTTCTAACATAATTTTTCTGAAACTTTTTAAATTTGACATCTGTCACAGTCTGTTTCTTTATGTTAAACATCTGCAGAACGTTCTGTTGAATCGATATACTATAATCATTCTTCTGTAATAGATATTTCGATGGCCTCCATTTTGGTTATTATAAACAATATTATATTGAACATCCTTTTTCTTATATCTTTATGCACAGATGTTTTTCTGGAGAATAGATTTTTAGAGATGGGCATGTGCTTTTCACATTATGTAGCTACTATCATACTATCAAATTACCTTCCAAAAAAGTTATACCAACATTCATTTCTATCAGTGTTATGAGAGCGCCAATTTACATCTTTCACGACAGTAAAACTTGAAATTTTTACCACTCTACTATTGTTTTAATTTGCACTTTGCTGCTTACTAATAAGATGGAGTATCTTTTGTTAGTTTATTGACCATTGATTTTTATTTTGTGTACCACCTATTTATATATTATTCTCATTTTTCTACTGGATTATTTATTTTAATAGGAAGTGCTTTATAAAGTATGGATATTAACCTTTGTCTGTTGAGATGTCTGAAATATTTCCTCTTAGTCCTTATCTTTTAACATTGGGGTATCTTTCATAGTAGTACATCTTTTAAATTTTTATGTAGTAAAATCAGTCAGCCTTCATGGCTTCTATGTTTTGTGCTTGCTTAGAGAAGTTTTCCCAACTCTAACATGATAAAAATATCCTCAGTTTTTCAGCTTTATTTTTTGCATTTAAACATTTAATTGAACTGGTACTCATTTTTGTGTGTGGTGTGAGGCAGAAATCTAACTTAATCATTTTTTAAATTGTTTTCCAAAATGGCTCTCATTCATTGGTATTAGCTTGTAGAAATAGTGTATTTATTTACAGAGGCAGACGGAGCACAGCGGTAATATAATTTTCTCAAGGTCACAGAGAAAATTCTTGTAAGGATTAGGTCTAAAATTATTTTTGTTAGCTAATCTGTGCCACTTGTTTCTTCATTTAACATTTTTTACATAGGTTATAGAAGTGTTGAAAAATATATTTTATTTCTGTGATGTTTATTTCAATGAAACTGAGTTCCATTAATAGGTGGATTAAGGCAGCTATGCATGTACAGAGCTTTCTTGAAAAATAATTGATTTTTGATATTGAAAAATATCTGTGCTAAACTGTTATTTAGATCAGTTGTGCTGAATTCTGGTGTGTGTTAATGAATAAGATTTAGCAGAGTGTATAACTTTTCACACTTTGTCTATATATGTTGCTTTTTACTGAGGTTTATTTACTATTAGTATATCTAATGTAGTCATTTTTCTGAGGATATTCACTTTACAGCTGCTGTAGCAGCTCTGACAAGCTCAGTTTATTGCCACATAATTACTATATTAAACTCACATAGTATTAATCACAGAATATGTTTAACACAGGGGTAAATATAAAACTATTACAGCTTTACAAAAAGCAGCATGAGCAGATACTTACTCATAAATTGTGTCAGACCGTGCTTATTGAAAGCTCATTTCAGATAAAATGTTTCTACCGAGGCAGGCTTTTGATTTGGTTTTATTTATTTATTTATTTATTTTTTAATTTCACCTCCCATAGTTAGATTTCTTTCTGTCACCACATATTTGACCCCTTTTACCCCATCTATCTCCCTCCTCCTATTTGGTTTTATTTATGATTCAGTTGATGGTCTGGATGTGTGTGAGCAGATAACTTGTTGTAAACTATTTTTAAGTTAAATACCAGTTTTGATGTATTAATGAGTTTGGCCTCTTTTTTATTTTTTTCTTTTAAAAAAATTTTAACTTACAAACAAGTCTAAGTTTTAAATCTCCATGCTGTAATTTACTCATTCTCAAAAGATACTTGTCTTTAACATACTAAAATTATTCATTTTTTCAAATAAATTTTTGTTGATTACATTTTCTTAATTATTTTGGTTAATTTTACAAAAAGTCATCATTAAAAACAAATCTCTCAAAGTAGGATCTCAGAAAGTTATTTGCACACCCATATTTATTGCAGCATTATTCACAATAGCTAAGAGGTAGAGGCAACCCAGATGTCCACTAACAAATGAATGGGTAAAGAAAATGTGGTGTATGCATACAATGGAGTGTTATGAAGCCTTAAAAAGGAAGGAAATCCTGTCATGCCTTACAACATGGATGAACCTGAAGGACATTATGTTAAGCAGAATAAGCTAGTCACCCATATGAAGAATCTCGTTTAGTCAGAATCATAGAAAGAGCTATGGAGATGGAGGATAGGGAATTTGTATTTAATGGGTACAGAGTTTCAGATTTTCATGAAAAAGTTCTAGAGTCTATTGCAAAACAATGCAAATATGCTTAACTACTGAATTTTGTACTTAAAAATGGTTAAGATGTTAAATATAATGTTATATGTTTTTTTGCCACAATAAAAAATGAGCAACCAAATTGAAATGTACTTTAAAGGCAAAATATAGCCTGGTAAAAAATATAGCAAGTACTTTTAGGACAACAACAAAAAGAATGTAAAATTAATAGCTTTGATGTTGATTTTATGTTGAAATGGTAATCTTTTGAGTCTGTTGTACTAAATAAAGTATATTAAAATTTAAAAAGCCACCAAAGTCAATAATGTGTTTTGTAGACAGTAGCCCCTTTTTAGTGATTGTCGGTAGAATTAATTTTAT